GTTTGTTTCTTCTATGTTTATTAGTTGGCTTTCTGCTATAAAGAAGAGCTTTCCTTTTCTCCCTACTTATTTATTTATATCATTATAGACTCCTATTCTTATTTTATTAAACAAGTTATATTTCTTACTGTGATTATTTATATTGATGCTTAAATTGTCCTAGATCGGGCCACGGGAGCCATTTCAGTGTCCTTTTGACATGACCCTGTCATTCATTGAGGATTTTCTTTATGTTTTAGCACAGAAAGATATCCCAGGTTCATCCCAGCCCTGGAGTCCGCCATTCTCTAAGGATCTCTAGCTCCTTTTGGTGGAGAATGTGTTTGGAGATCAAGATCTGTGTGCTAGGTGTGCTCATTTGCTACTGGGGTGTCATGCCTTCTAGACTCTTTCATCTGATAGAGTTAAGAAATAGATATATATGGAATGGGAGAGGGTATAGCTCAGTGGTAGAGCACATGCTTAGCATGGACAAGGTCCTGGGTTCAATCCCCAGTACCTCCATTAAAAAATACATAAGTAAGCAAATAAACCTAATTATGTCTTACCCCTAAAAACAAAGATATATACATACATGTATGTGTGAGTGAATACACATATGTCTACAAACATAGCTATCTGTCTATTCTGTATATATTAAAAGCCTTTAATTCACACTGATAACACCAATTCCAGTTTATCATCACAGGGTTCACTCTGTTCTCTTCCACATTTGATGAGAATTCTGATTCTTGTTATCTACAATGTTTGTCCTTATTTGCTTAATCCTAGAATAACAAAAAGTCGTTTCAGAATTCCTAACCAATACCTCTGCAAAAAAGAAACCTAATTAGAATTCAGTGTTTACTTAGAGTTCTTTTTGTCTTTAGCTTGAGGATATATAGTTCAGAAACTGTGCTTACAAATTACTTGGGTTAATTTTTTTTTTTTTTTTTACTTTTCAGTGTGGTTTCATAACTCATTTACTAGATACTCTGGTTTATTTGGTTCTGTTTTGAATTTGGTTTTAGTTTTTCCCTTCATTAAATTATTGATTTCTTTTAGTTTTGTTATTGTTGTATTGTTTTGGGGAGTGAGAGATGTTAACATGGTTCTAAGTGTCAGACTGTCCCAAAGAGATTCTAAGTATCACAGCCCTTCCTCATTTCTTCTGTCTTTTCTACCTTATTCCTACCTACCCCTCCAAAAGTAACCAACCTAATTAGTCTCTAGTTTACCTTGACTGTGTTTCTGTTGCAGAAATGAATAGATATTTTCTTTTTTCCCTTTCTTACACAAAAGGCAACATACCATATAAAGTTTTGCATTTTGCTTATTTTCCACTTATTTAAGCATGAACTTTGACGTAAAGATATTAACTCTAATATTTTTTCAACTATTTTTTGTTCTAGCAAAGCTGCTTTTTCTTTCAACTACATTTTTGTAAAATATCACTTACAGAAAAGTACACAAAATAATAGTACAATTCATTGTACTTGCGTAACTTACCACGCAGGTAAAGAAATTGAACATTGCTGATACCCAAGAAGTTCCTTTATGCCCCCTCCTAGTTACAGTACTTGTCCTGATTAGAAGTCATACTCATCTTCAATTTTATGGTAATCACTTGTTTTCTTCACATTTTCACCATGTAACCATGCATCCCTAAATAAATGTTTAGTTTTGCTTGCCTGTTTTTATTTTTAATGTGAATAGATTCAGTATGTGTATTTCAGGTATGACTTCTTTTGTTTAGTATTATGTTTGTGACATCAAGGTTGTTTCATGTTATAATTTTTTAATTTTCATTTCCGTATAGTATTTAATTACATACATATATTACAACTTAAAAAATCCATTCTAATGGTGGTGGACATTTGGATTGTTTGTAGTTTTGGGCTGTTGTGAAAAATTGCTTTTATGAATATTCTTTTTGGTATATATTATAAGCTGAATTGTGTCATCACACCCACCCCACCCCACCCCCCAACAAGATATGTTGAAGTCTTGACTCCCAGGACCTCAGAATGTGATGTTATTTGGAAATAAGATTATTGCAGATGTAGTTAGTTAAGATGAGTTCATACCAGAGTAGGCTGAGACCTTAATCCAATGTGACTGGTGTCATTATAAAAAGAATGCCATGTGAAGAGACAAAGGGAGGCGCATCTGAAGATAGAGGATTGGAGTGTTGCATCAACAAGCCCAGAAACACCAAAGATTGCCACCAAAGCAGGTTTTAGAGGGAGCATGGCCCTGCACATACCCTGAGTTTGGACTTCTAGCCTTCAGAACTTTGAGACAATAAATTTGTTGTTTTATTTACCAGAGTGGTTGTATCAGTTTATACTCCCACAAGCAGTGTGTGAGCTCCTATGGTCCACACCTTTGTTGACCCTTGATACTGTCAATTAAAGAAAATTTTAGTCATTCTGATGGGTGTACAGTGCTATCTTATTGAGGCTGAAATTTGTATTTCCTGGTGGTTTGATGATGTTAAGCGTCCTTTCCTATGATTGTTGGCTATTTGAATAGCCATTTTTATGAAGTGTGTCTTTTGTACATTTTTCTATTTTTTTCATCTATGTTTATCTTACAGAGCCAGAAGAGTTTGTATGTTTGGATAGGAGTCCTTTGTAGGTTGCATGTATTGTTTACATGTATTTTCTCCACTCTGGCTTGCCTTTTTTACCCTTTTATGGTGACCTGAAAATGATT